TGTAGGCATACTTTAATAATAAAAACCAGATTCCAATTTTTAAATATGCTTCTGCCATCAAATTTGTCAGCAAAGATGAATCAAGAAAAATACTAAAATAAAAGTGTTATGTAAGCAAAACCATCCAACAACAAAAAAATAAAACCTGATCCTTTTTTTAGAGCTGCACCCTGGTACGTGGAGCAATGAACTGATACCTCAGATTTGCTTTAAACTATTCTCCCTGAGGCTGAAAGAAGAATTAAAAGGAGGGTCCAAACGGATGAAACAGATGTGGGGAAATGTCCATATGCTGCAGCGCAGGAGCTCTAGTCCAGGGACCTCCACTCTTCGTTCAGATAAGTCGGAAACACCCACGAGGAGGACTGGGTGGCGCGGGCGAGGCCTTTATTACTCACGTGACAGGGAGTGCAGACCGCAGCGGGTAGGGAAGCCGGACCTGGCCCCTCTGTGTCCCAGCCTTGTGTTAAGGGGTCCCAGGCGAAGGAGGCACGTGTCCTGAGCACGACTACAAACTGCATTACCTCAGTGTAAAGGAAAGGTCAAGAAGCAGTCACAGGACAGGAAGCCGCTCCCAAAAGGTGATAAGGAGGAAGTCACGATCCATTTCCAAAACAATACCCATTCCTTCTGGCCAGGGGCCCATCCATCCTCGGTCTGGGAGGGAGGTGGGCCGTGTCCATTGACCCCATACTGTGTGCATCGAGTCCGAGCAATGGGTATATAAGAATTCTTCTTCTATTCTCTGTATTTTTAAATATATTTTACTGTTTTCATTTGGAAATATGAAGACTGCGCTGGTTAGTATGGCTCAGCCGGTTGGGCATCATCCTGCAAAGCTAAAGACTCCTGGTTTGATTCCTGGTCAGGGCACGTGCCTGGGTTGTGGGTATAGGCACATCCAAGAGGCAACCAATCGATATTTCTCTCTCACATTGATGTTTCTCTCTCTTTTTTCCTCCCTCCCCTCTCTCTAAAGATAAATAAATAAAATCTTTAAAATAAAACTTAAACATAGTAAAATATTTTTTAAATATTTTATTTATTTATTTTTCAGAGAGGGGAAGGAAGGGAAAGAGAAACATCAATGTGTGGTTGCCTCTTGTGCACCCCCTACTGGGGACCTGGGCCACAACCCAGGCACCTGCCCTAGACTGGGAATCAAACCAGCAACCCTTTGTTTCACAGGCTGACACTCAACGACACCAGCCAGGGCTAAAATGTTTTAAATAAATAAATTAATTAAAATATGAAGGCTTCAGACTTCTAGTTTTGGCTACAACATGTAAACAGCTTAGAAGCTATCACTTCCATCCTCGCAACAAGAAAAAAGTTCAAACAAACTGCACATTAACAGCTACTCTTAGACCTGCCAGGAATTGACGTGTCAGGGCAGAGCTCCTGGGTGGGAACCGGGGGGAGGTGAATAAAGCCCATCAATGCCAAGATCAGCTCAGTTGGAGCAGATGCTGCTGGAGCCGCAAAGTGTTAGGAACACTTATCAATTATTTTGACAAATGGCTGGAAGCTAAGTGTGGACTAGTTGAAAGTGAGAAACCCCTAAGGGGTTTAGTCTGAGGGCCCTTCCCCAACTTTCCTCAGTTTTTACCACTAGGAAGCCCATCCAGTCCTCACAGTAAAGATACCAAAGCAACAACAACAACCTCATATTTCAGATGGGGGAGGGGAAATACAACCACATTGAAATATGCCCAAAGCGTTCTCCACTGCAAAAGCCTGTCCACTAACTTGAGGGAAGGGGGACCCAGCCTCCTCCAGCCTTCCTGCCTCAAATAAAGTTTGTTCTTAAAGGCAAGGAAGTGCTTCTGAAAGGCACAGCCCACAGCCTCGGCCCCACTAGAAAACTGAGGCTGGATCACAGAGCACGGAGTGCTTTCCTCCCCAGTACCTCACCACCCCCCGGCAGCGTTCCAGGGGGACCACAGCGGATTCGCACCGAGATGGCTGCAAGACACAGGCTCTGCTGGAGAAGGAATTCTTGGAGGCAGAAGCAACTTAAGTGTCCATCAGCGGAATGAGTGGACACAGAAAAATGTGGCACATGCACACAGTGGAATACTACTTCTCTATCCTTCAAACAGAAGGGATTCCTGTCACATAACACGACCCGGATAAACCTTGAGGATATTACATTAAATAAAATAAGCCCATCAAAAAGACAAATACCATATGATTTGACTTACATGCAGTATCAAGAGCAGTCAAACGCGTAGAAATGCAAAGTAAGATGTGGTTACCAGGGACCGGAGGGGAAGGGAGGCTCAGCAGGTGCGGAGTGCCAGTCACTCGGAAGGGGAGGCTCTGGGGTCAGCTGCTCAACCGTGCACCTGCGGGTGACAGCACTGTGCACTTGGAAATCGTTGGGAGGGTGAATTTTATATTCTGTGGGGTTTTGCCACAAGATTTCATTTTAACGAGTCCTCATGAAATCAGAAAAGCTGGCATTTGTGCTGCCTGTCTTCACCAGAGCCAATGAGCAGAGACAGGGATTGAATCTGTATGGGCACTTTATTCAGACGGCCAGCGATCCGAGAAGACAGAGAGCTGTGTGCCCTAACAGACCATCTTACATCACACTTCAAACTGACCTTTTCATAAGGAGAAGGAAAGTGTAGCTAAGGGGTTTGGAGTTCAGGGGGAAGGCCCCTCAGAGAGAAAGCTGTAGCGTTCTTTCATCCCATTGACTGTGTGACCCTTAATCTTCGACCTGGGCGGTGGGCGTCTCACCCAGGGGCGCAGTGGCTCGGATGCCATGCCGGGTGGATTGCTTGCAGCCCTTCCGAGGCACAGAGGTGGGTGGAACTACCTGTGGGCTCCCGGAGCCAGGGTGGGTCACACCTTCCGTCCCTGAAACAGTAGCTTTTTACATACATTGATTACTAAGCTGATTGACTATTACCTAAAATGAAAATTTTCCAACTCTTGGGTCCACCACCCCTTGAAGAAACCTAAAGACAACAGGGAACAAAAACAGAAAACTAGGAAATATTGAAGCCTCTTGCACCTGCAGCTGGCTACAGTACACATTAAACACAGCCCGGCTACATCTCGCCAGATCAACAAAAACTCTCACTAACTCTTAATTACCTCAGTTTCTACCACCAATACATCAGGTTTCGCTGTTGACAAAAAAAATTGTAAGATGTAGTCGACATAAGAAACGTCCATTCCTGTAAGAATTTATATATATGAGTTTATTTGAGCCAAACTGACAACAATTGCCAGAAGCAAAAGCTCAACGGACTGAGAACGTGCTCCAGAGAACTGCAGTTTTGTACTTTATTTTATACATCAGAATCAAAGGAGAAGATGTAAGGGAGATACATGAAACCCACTGGTGGCAGATCAGGGAGGCAAGAGAAAGTAAAGCAGGGGAGTCTCTGAGATGGGATAAAAAGCAAACTGAACACTCACTTCTTGTACATGTGTGGGAATAGGGTAGTTAACACTTAACGATTAACACAATAACAATAACAATGAGGGGTTGCTCTGGTGCAGTGAGGGGTGTGGGAAAGGAAAATTACCCTGACATTTCAAAGGTGTGTTGTTTTAGATGCAAAAAGACAATAGACAGGCTCAGTTAAAATAAAGGTTGACTTTTGTTAAGGAAGATAGTAGCCTAGCACCTGACTATCTCCATGACTCACTTTTAGTTAGAAAGTTTTCATTCCAGTCCTAGCTGGTGTGGCTCAGTGGATTGAGCGGAGTGGGCCTGAGAACTCAAAGTTCACCAGTTTGCCAGTCAGGGCACATGCCTGGGTTGCAGGCCAGGTCCCCAGTTGGGGGCATGCAAGAGGCAATCAATTGATGTTTCTCTCACACGTCAATGTTTCTCTCCCTCTCTTTCTCCCTCCTTTACCCCTCTCTAAAAGTAAATAAAATTTTTTGAAAAAGAAATAGAAAATTTTCATTTCAGACCATCCTATGTGGTTCCTTTAGGTCTCTGAGTTTGTAAGGCTCGCCATGCAGGCCTCCCCTGAGCTTGTCGGGTTTAGTATGTAGCCTCTTTTTTATCCACAGCATGCTAAAAAAATTTTTTTAATCTCCTCCAAGGTCATTCTTTCATTGCTTGAAGAAGGGAGAGGGAGAAGTATTGATGCAAGAGAGAAACATCTATCGGCTCTCTCCAATATGTACCTAGACCAGAGTCTGAAACCTCAACCTAGGTATGTGCCCTGACCAGGAATCAAACCAGCAACATTTGGTTGCGACACAATGGTCCAACTGATACACAGAGATCTGACCAAATCACTGGGGATTAATAGGGAAGGGCCGTAGGAGGAGTTTGCTAAGGCAATAGTAAACAGCCCAGGACGGGACTGGCTGAGAAGCCGAACACCCGCTGCCATGAGCCCATGGAATCATGGGCAAGAAGATTTGAAATTAAAAAAAGGGCCCTTGGGCTCTCTGTCTGCCTCTCTTCCAGGAGGATGCCCGGTTGATCGTGCTGCAGCTGCCTTCGTTCCCCATTGGACGGTATTTTGGATGGGGAGGAACTCCAGGCGCAGCTTAGGATGGGCTGGCCTGGCGGAGGGCGGCAGGGTTATTCTCCTCTGGGTGTTCTAGATTGGACGAGGTCCGAGACAAAAGCCTGCTGTTCTTCCCAAATCGTGTATCTTTTTACCCTATGTTGTTTTATTTTGTGACCTAAACCTCTAGGAATAAGATAACTCAAACTAGCAGGGGGAATGACAGGAGAACTCAGGTATTAAAGAGGTTGGCCTCAATGGATAGGCTTAATGACTAATGCATGTGGAAGGCTGTTATTCCAAAACTGTGAAGCTTTTTCTCTACAGGTACCTTTCCTTTATCACCAAACCTTTGCCTCTAATTTTGCCTAGAAGTTGCCGCAGGCAGTGGGACTCCGATTGCTGTTCAGTAACACAACCAACTGAACAACACTTCCAGGGAGAACTTTTAAAAAAAAATAGTCTAAAGAGATAAAGGAGAAGCAGATTGAGCCGTGACACAGATTTTTCCGCAGCCCTGCCAGGGCAGGCACGAGCGTAGCTGCCATCGAAGCACTGTACTCATTGGCCCTCTGCTGGGCCTCGGGGGTAAATTTGGTTACAGACACCAAGCTAATAAAAAATATATAACATAATAATAATAACAACTACCTAATATGTTAAGGGTCCTAATGAAAAAAGTGGACAACAGCCCTGGCTGGTGTGGCCCAGCAGATTGAGTGCCGCCCTGTGAACCAAAGTGTCACCAGTTAGTTTCCCAGTCAGGGCACATGCCTGGGTTGCAGACCAGGTTCCCAGCAGGGGGCGCATGAGAGGCAACTGCACACATTGATGTTTTTCTCCCTTTTTCTTCCTCCCTTCCCCTCTCTCTAAAAAGAAATAAAAATCTTTTTAAAAAAAGTAGCAGACACCTGGCTGGTGTAGCTCAGTGGATTGAGCACGGACCTGCAAACCAGAGGAGGATCGCTGTCCGATTCCCAGTCAGGGCACATGCCTGGGTTGCAGGCCAGTTCCCAGCAGGGGACCCATGAGAGGCAACCGTACATTGATATGTTCTCTCCTTCCCTCCTTTTCTCCTTCCCTTCCCCCCTAAAGATAAATAAATAAAATCTCTTTTAAAAAATTAGTAGACGACAGGCAAAAACTGATGGATAATGTAAGCAGAGAGATGGAAAGACTCAAAAAGAAATGCTAAAAATCAAAAACACTGTAACAGAAATAAAGAATGCCTTCAATAGCCATATCAATAGATTAGACATGGCCAAGTGAGCTTCAAGACATATCGATAGAAACTTTCCAAACTGAAAGGCAAAAGAATAAAAAACAGAAACAATGCGTGAGTGAGACAGGCTAATAAGCTGGGGCAAATGGAATAGGGAGACAAAAAAAAACTGCCAAGGAGTTTACAGCCATCTAGTAAATCCCCAAATCTTATCTTCCATAACCAAGGACACTTAAGAGTAAATGGTTTATACTTCTCCCCAGCCAAAGGGTAAATAGCTTAAATCACCCTACTCCAGAATAGAGATAACAGAAATCCAATTAGTTCCATTTGTGTCAGCCACACTGCCAAAGACAGATTAATTAAGTCAGGGGAATAAACCTCACTTTGGTACATGAGCAAAAAGCTGATGAATATTCTACTGAGACCCTCCTCAAGACCTCTCCTAAATTCCCAGCCTCTAAAACCCTCAAGATGAAGGACCCAGGGCACACTCCCACTCCCAGCAGCGTGCCCACACCTTTCTTTCCTCTCAAGCGTGCGTCTCCCGAACTCTAAGGGTCCCCACTAGACTTGCAACCAGGGGAGCAATGGGCAGTGGCAGCTCGTCCCAGGCTGAGCCCCTGAACCTGTCTCCAGGGCCCGTTTTCTCTGAGTTTCCAGTGAGCCAAAGAAGCCTCGCCTGGGCTCTCTCCTGTTGCTCCTTTTACCCTAAGCTCATCCTTGTTTCACTGTCCCCCACTTTAATACGCACCCTCTCAACATCACCGGGACTCATGTTGTGAACTCTTCCCTGCATGAAGTCAAGAACCCACACACTGCAGGCCGGCCTGAGGCAGACGTGCTCTGGCCAGACCGCCTTTCCAGTAACATGCGTACCGTGGGGCACTTTTAACAGATGTAACATACGCACACTGGGGACGCCAGAAAAGAGAGTAGAGAAATATTTAAAGGAACCGAGGCTGACAACTTTCCAAAATTAATGAAGCACAAAACCATACATCCAGGAAGCTTTGAAAACATCAGTCACGGTACCAGAAATATCTATACCTAGTCATATATTCAAATTGCAGGAAGCAAAAGTCAAAGAGAAAAATCTTGAAAGAAGCCAGAGTAGAAAAATACCTTAACCTATAGAAGGACAAGGGTAAGAATACGTCTAACTTCTCATCAAAAACCAAGTGAACAAGAAGAGAATGAAGTAAAATACGTAGCATTGGAAAGGAAAAACCACCAACCTAGAAGTCTATGTTAAAGTGCAAACAGCAGGCCCAGAATGCACAGCGCTCACAGTACCAAGTCTAAATTTCTTTTTCTTTCTTTTATTTATTTATCTTTAGAGAGGAAGAGAAGGAGAGAGGGAGAGAAATATCAGTGTATGGTTGCCTCTCATGCATCCCCTGCTGGGAACTGGCCTGCAACCCAGGCATGTGCCCTGACTGGGAATCGAACCTAGATCCTCTGGTTCGCAGGCCTGTGCTCAATCCAATGAGCTACACCCTCCAGGGCATATATTGCTTAAGTTAGGTCCGATCTAATATGTTAACACCTGATCTAATTGCAGTTTCAGCCTCTCCCAGAAACCTAGTCAGTCTGAGGTGTTCTGGTCAAGCACGAGCAAAGCAACGTTCTGTGGACTCTCTATTCTCCTTAGAAGAGGCAGTCTGCATGATAAATGCCCTCCCAAAAGAACAAGATGTCATGGCCCCAAAATAATACCGTCTTTTGTTTTGTTAAGACTCCCTTGCCCCACCCTTCCTTCCCTAAAAACTTCTATTTTATGCGGCCCCTCAAAGTGCCCTTCTAGTCGCCAGAGGGGATGCTGCCGGGTTCATGAACGGCTTAATGAAATCAATCACATCTTTAAGTTTACTTGGTCCAATCTTGTTTTTTAACAGTATCCAGTGAAATGATGATTTAAAAGTAAAATAAAAATAAATATTTCTCAGACAAAACCTGACAGAATCTGTCATTCATATAACCTAACATATTACTGGTAGTTATTATTTATATTTTAACAAGAATTGTTCAAGGGAGTTCTTCGAAAAGAAGGAAAATCATATAAATCAGAAAATCAGATCTAGATCAAGGAGTGTTAGAGAAGTAATAAATGAAGACAAAACAAAATCTTTCATTTATTTTTTTAGTTCTTTATTTTTTTATTCTTAATTGCTCTAATAGATGATTATTCAAAGTTATAACAGTAACAATGTATCTGACAATTATAAGATATAGATAAGCAAAATGAATGACAGCAATGTCATACGGCATAGGAGAGAATAAACAGGAGCACTCTGTTACAAGGTACCTATACTACTTGTAATACCCAAGAAGTAGTGTACTATTAGGTAAAAGTAGACTTACTTAGCTCTGGCTGGTGTGGCTCAGTGGATTGATTAATGGCCTGCAAACCAGAGGGTCACTGGTTTGATTCCCAGTCAGGGAACGTGCCTGGGTTTCAGGCCAGGTCCCCAGTAGAGGATGTGTGAGAGACAACCACACAATGATACATCTCTCCCTCTCTTTCTCCTCCCCTTCCCCTTGGCCTAAAAATAAATAAATAAACTCTTTAAAAAATAAAGTACTATAACTGATATGTGGGGGGAAGAAAAATTAAATTTTAAAAATATTCAAAACTATAAAAAGCAAAAAAATCTGGGGAGATAAATAAAAAGCAGGAGGAAGGTAAACAGGTACTTACTTGTCATAGGGGACTCAAGAGTTGGAAAATTTTAGTTTGAGTAACAGCTAATAAACTTAGTAACCAATGCATGTAAAAGCTATTGTTCTAGGAACTGAAGGTATGACCCGCCCTGACTCCAGAAGACCATAAGCAGTTCCATCTCTGTGCCTCAGGAGGACTGCAAGCAATTCAAGATGATCTCTGAGCCATCGCACTCCAGAGTTGAGATGACCACAGCCCAGGACCCAGCTAAAGCCCTGGGCGATGATGGCCCAGGGTGAGAATGCTGTGGGGTGTTTTTTGTTTTTTTTTTTTTAATCCCTGAATTCCAAACCCCTGGCCTATACTTTGTGCTCCTTATAAAAAGGGCCACTTTGGAATGGAATTTAAGATGGTCTGTCAGGGTATGAACCCCGCCGTCTTCTCAGATCCCTGGCCATCTGAATCAGCGCCCATAAAGATTCAATCCCTGTCTCTGCTCCTTGGGCTCGGTGTGTGACAGGCAGCATGAACGCCAGTCTTTTCCACTTTTCAACTGTACAATGGTGTTCACCGCGGTCTGCATATCACAGTCACAATATTCCCACTTCATACCTACACACTGTGGACCAACTGGGGCATTCCATGGACAGTAAGTGCACAGGGTGATCTGATCGTAAGTTCCTAACGGGCCAGGTCGTGGTGGGTAGTCCTGGCCCAGGCCTATAACTTCTTTAGAGAAAGGTTTTAAACCAGCCCTGTTCATTGTTCTTGTGCACCTGAGTTAACACACCTTTGAAATACCAGAATACTCCTCAGAGAGAATATTAACCCTCAAGAGAGCACATAATCTTAACTATCCTGTAATCTGATCCCTGCCTTGCTTGTCCCTTCCCCCTGTTATCTTCATTACTTCCTTCCTTAATTTCAAATGCATGAAAAAGCTGCAAAGCTGTTGTTCTCTGGAGCGCTGAAGTCTTGCTCTCTGGCATATGTCATCAGTTTGGTTCAAATAAACTCTTATAAAAATTCACTACAGGTTTGGACATTTTATATGTTGACAAGTTTAATAGCATGAATATCTCCCGTACATGTAATGGGGTACAGCCAGCTCTCTCCCCAAAAAGGGGTTTGTAGCAGGGTCCAGAATTTGGGGTATCCAAGAAATACAGAAATATAACATATCCCCACCCCCACAAGTCTGGACTAGGGATGGGACACATGGAGCAGGGCCACTGAGAAATATTTTGCAGGACAGCTTTATACCTGATATGCAAAAATGGTTATTTTGTATATCGATGACAGCAGACTAGTCCTTCAGCCAGAATGGAGCCAGGAGGTATGCATAACCTTGACCCAGGATGTAACAGGTCGCGGTGCATGTGTGAGAGCTTGGAGATGGTTCACTCCATGCCTCAGACCGACGCCTGCCTGGACTTACTATGGTGACCCAGAAAGGCTGAAAATATATGGGAGTGCTGGCAGGTGTAGCCAGTTGTGGGAGGGGTTGGAAATGGGGTTACAGAGGAGGTCTTAGGCTGGGATTTAAAATGAAGGCTGACCTCCACGAGGGACAGAGAGATAATGCAGGAGTAGGGACAGGGGACGATGCAGGACAATGAGACAGGACAATGTGAGACCTTGCGGGGAAGGAAAGGGGTAAAAGTGTTACCGAACGAGAGGAGGTCCGAGGGAGGGGCAATACAATATTTGGCCCACCTAGGGA